GTCAATCTCTGACCTCGTAAAGTTCTTCTTTTTAGTTTTCACTGTCATTTTCATGAATGGACACTTCCTGGTATCTGAGGTAGGAAATCTTAAAGCCTTAAATGGTGTTTTTGGGGTGGTAATTATGCTAATCTCCTCTCGCATGCATGTGCAGCTGGATACGAACAGGTGGAATTTACGCAGCTCATTTACACACTTTTCCTGAAGATAGAAGAGTTTGTTGAATCTGACGTGGCATGTTCGTACGAACCCTTCGTACGAACAAAAGTAAGAGAAATTTAGGATAAGAATACGAACATGTTCTTGCATGAGGCCCAATGTGAGCTCATTTATTAATGTGTATTTTCATGTTGAAGATGTTATCTGGAAGCATTAAATTCTGTCTTAATAGCTGTTTGGTATTCAAAATGGTGATGATGAAGCTCCATAATAAAGGGGTATTCTGGCCATTTTTGAAGAAAGATTTTGTTAACAAGTTATGAAAAGTTGATTTTAAATCATTGAAGCCAGATGATGGAGCAGGCTCATTTTGGAGAAACATTTCAGTTCTGACTAGGGCTGGGCCATATCATATCATTCACGATAATGCCGGTAAAAAAAAACTTGCCTGAGAAAATAAATTATATCAAGATATGATATGCTAATTTCATGACCGACGTCATTTTGCCAATGTCGGAGAATCTGCTTGTTTTCTGTTGCGGTCTCGGTAAAGCCGCCCAGTCTGATACAGGTTTAAACAGACGCCGCTTTCAACAAATCAAACGAACCCCACAGCTTTATCCAATCAGAGCAGAGTAGGGCGGGTCTTTTTGATTGTCGGTGAAGCCAGGTGCAGCAGTCTGCAGGATAAACACCGGTCAGCCTGCAGCTCCTGTCCTGAGTGAACAAACCCCATCCTCCACACTTCGCTCCCGAGCTACCCGAGACATTGGTATCTAAAATCGAACACACTATAAGTTTATGTGTTCAGAGCATCGTTATCTAACAGATATGTCCAACTTTGCTCGCATGACCAAACTCCACTCCTTGACAGCGCTGTTACGGGAATGCGCTGAATTGTTCTGAGAGAGCCACTGTTTCAGGTCTTCCAAAATATTAACTCAGATGAACACATGTTTGCCCCAGTATAGAAAAGATGAGTATACGCTTAGTGTTAGGCACCCCCACCCTGCAAAACAAAACAAAACAAAACAAAACAAAACAAACAAAAAAGAACCGCTACATTCTTTTGTAGTTTATTGTTTGTAGTTTATCTTATATTTAGAATCATATTGTGACTTTGCTCTGTGATTCAATAAATGGTCAAATATGAAGAATACATGTCATTAAATGTTTACATGAGCTCTCTAAATCAGAGATTTTTAACCCAAGGGCCGCGGCCCAATTGTGGGTCACGAGCACCACCTTGAGGGCCTCAAAAGAACAACAGTTTTTAAGTTTGGGCCGCAGAGGGCCGTGGGACCGCATTGATTTTGAATAAA